CATCTTCACCATCCATTCCTCCATTGTGGGTAATGTCAAGTCTTTCCACCTTTGTGCATATTATAATCTCACTGCAGTTATCATGTATAAAAACAAAGATCCATGACTTTTTTCCAGCTGTTTATCTATCAGTCCCAAAAGAAACACCTATGGTTTCGATTGTATATTAATATTTAAAATCTTCTGAATTAGTGTATGTAATTGAATCCAAAATTTCTTAGCTTTTTTACATGTCCACCTAGCATGATAAAATGTCCCCTCTTGTTGTTCACATTTTCAACATAAAGTTGAAGTAACTTTATACACTCTAGACAATTTTTCCGGTAACATATACCAACAGTACATCATTTTATAAAAATTCTCTTTAAGATTATAACATAATGTAAATTTCAGTCCTTTCATCCACATATTCTCCCACTGTTCCATTTGTATGTTGTAGCCAAAGTTTTTAGCCCATTTTCTCATACATTCTTTCACTGTTCTTCTTCTGTTTCAAATTTCAATAAAGGTTTATATATTTTAGCAGTTACATGTTCATAATTTGTACACAATTCTGTTTCAAACTCAGTCTTAGAATATTCAAAACCAGAAGTTCTTTTATCTATTTTAAATCTTTCTTGTAACTATACATAAGAGAACCATTGACAAGTGTATCTTTCTGCTACCAAATCTTCTCTTGGTTTTATTTTACATTCCCCCTGACAGCATTCTAATATGTCACAATAATTTAACCATTTGTGTTTACTTATCATTTATTGTCTATGAAATGCTTCTTGCACTGAAAGCCACAAAGGGATTTTCAGGTACAACCTGGGATTATATCTATTCCATATTCTCAGTATAGCACATCTAACAAAGTGATTTTTAAAATCTATTTTAATCTTAACTGTATCATACCATAAATATCCATGCAATTCGAATCTCAAATCATGTTCTTCTAGCTCCAATCACCTTCTTTTTCATCCACTCTTTCATCCAAACTAAACAGCAAGCTGCAAAGTATAATTTCATATCAGGTAAACCCACTCCTCCTCTTTCTTTTGCATGTTGTAACACCTTAAAAACTTGTGTTTTTTTCCCCTGCCACACAAATTTAGATATATCTTTCTGCCATTGTTTAATTGGTATATCATTTGTCAAAATGGGTATTGTCTGAAACAAAAATAAAATTCTAGGCAAAACATTCATCCTAACTACAGAAATTCTCCCTAACAATGACAATTGTGTTTTCTCCCATCTTAACATATCTTTTTTAACTTCATCCCAAGGTTATTTTGAAATAACATGCAATTCATATTTGTCATATGCTCAAAAGCATTCTATCTTATCTGTCTAGGCACCTAGGACAAATTTACCAGATGAGAAGGACTCCTGTCTTATGCCAAAATAAACAGAGGAGAGAC